CTCTCTCTCTCTCTCTCTCTCTCTCTCTCTCTCTCTCTCTCATTATTTTTTGTTTCTCCTCTCGTGTTTCCCTTTTTTCTCCACTCCATTCACTCGCAAAATTATTCCTTAACGACCGCCCGATTGCCACAAAGAAAGAGATGTTATTTCTCTCCTGTTCTTTCTTTTGTCTGTGTTTATATTTTTTCCTCCATCTCCCCGTATTATTCTCGTTTTTGTTTCAATCGAAATGACGGTGGGGAGGAGTGCTGTATGACGGAGAGCGTCAGTGTGACGTAACAGAATGAGAGAAACAGCGTTAAAGGTATTCGTATGAAATCAAATAACGAGAAAGAGGAAAAGAAATTTTTTTCAATTTAAACATCATCCTTTTTCTCAATTATTTACTTTTCTTCATAAGTGCAAATATCCATTAAACAGCGAACAAAGCATGTTTTCTTCATACGTATCCTTTTCAACTATTTACCACCACAGATGAGTCGCTAATGAAACTTACGGCGTTTGTCAAACTCATTGACAAATCACTCTAAAAAACACGCGTATTATGTCATTCTCAAATCAAACATGAGGAATTTCCTTCGCTTTATTATGTTTATTTTCACTTTACGATGGGAAAGAGGGGGGATGGGGGGGGGGCTAATCGACGAAGCGACGAGATCGCACAGCGAATGGGTCGAGCTAACGTCATTATCATTATCTTCGGTTTAACACAGTCAAGTTTAATATACAAACATACAGCCTAACATTTTTTGTTTCGTCGTAACTCCTCACATCGCTTTTTTTCACCTCTTGGACATGTGTATAAATGACTCCAGGGACTCGCGTACGCGTTAAATTTATCAGTAAACAGTGCAGGCAGTCTCGACGGATGCAATAAAGAAGAAAAAATTGAAGGGGGGAGGGAGGGGGGTAAATTATTCTCGTGTTGTGTGAGGTCCCTTCGGACGCACTGCGAATCGATTTCACCTCGGGGACGCGAGATTGTCTTCACTGTACGAAGTATTGGCGATTAATCGAAATGCCAGGTACGCGGCTGTAGTGTTATTGAGAGAAAAGTAGATAGAGATGAGAATGAGAACGGAAGGAAATGAGAAAAAAAGGAGTTCGTGAGGATGAGACCACCGTGGATGTAATTAGGTGATAGTCCAGTTGAAGTGCGAGGAGTGAGCGTCACTACGACTTTATCGTTCAGCAATCACGATAGATTATATCAATCGATCGCGAGTCAGAGATACGTAGTAGCCTCAAGGCTAATGGATATACGCAGGAGACACGCGAACTCAATGGACTGGGTATTATCGACAAATATCTCCGTTTGAGTTTCATTTTATAAAGACTGTTATCGTGTCCAATGACTTATCGTGTTAAACACGAGGAGACAAAGAGTGTCATTAGCATCAATTATAATTCATTTTTCATGTTTTGACGAGGAGGAAGGTTGAGGAAAAATTGTCTGAAAGGCAATCGTGGAGGGAAATTCAGTTCAATGAAGAATTGATGAGGATATCTTGTGGTTCGTCCGCACGGAGGAAAAACTCCCGGAAAAATTACGTCAGAAACTGTAAAAGTGATACAAAATGCGCTCTTGGGAATTTTTACGTAAAGAAGGGAAAAAATCTGGAGTGACAAAAACATTTTCGCTTGAGTTCTGCAAATTTTATGGATCAAAACGGAAATTTTACGTTATTTAATGTCTTAAATTAAGGCATAACAACGTGAATTAAGATGCTTTTGTCCCTTCTGCAAGATCTTTTGGATAAATTTCATGTACAAAAGGAAAAAAGTGTCCCAATTTACAACATTATTCATTCATTTCGTATAGCAAAATTTCCTGCATCTCTTCAGTATTTTTTAATCCTTTTTTTTTCGGCACCGATAAAAACGAAATGGGAACGGACCAAAGTGAAAATTTCTCCTGAACATTGACTAATTATTTGTGTTCACTGTCGTAACGTTCGGCAAAATTCCGCCTAAATTTCACAATTTCAGTCAATTTTTTGTAGCAAGCAAAGAAAATTTCTCAGCAATTTTTCCTCAACGTTTTTTCTCTGTGCGGCAACGTACACAGATGATTGAGTCATTTTATTCCCATGTCATGAATAAAAATTTTCATCCACTAAACCATATTTCCCTGAATTCAGAATTTCCGCATAAATAAGCGATGGAAAAACAGAATAAAGAGAAAAATAGCAAAGATGCAGAAGTAATTTACCATCCCGACGATTGTATTTGAATAAATATTGAAAGAACGAATTTATGTGGTGAGTAAACAGGTGTATGAGTATTTTCAATAGGAAAACAGGAAAAATGAGTGGGTATTACATTTGATTCTGTCAATACAAAACACGCTACGAAGTGTTGAGTGCAAACGGCGCACACATGCTTCATGAAACAACACAATATTTATGAAAAGAAAAAATGAACTATAACAGGAGAAAAATAAATGGGCACAGGTAGAGGGGGGAAAGCTCACGGAAACATCCCGAGACACGCAATGCTTTTGTGAAATGACATTAGTATGCAGCGGAGTGCGAGATATCACGTGGGCGAATTATAACAGTTTACCGACCCACGTCAATATGCCGGTGCCATTATTCAAGCGGTGAAAGAAAGAAACAACAGATAGGATTAAAGGTCATCGGCACTGCGGTACATACGCGAGGGTTCACGCGACCCTGAATTAAACACAATAAAAGAATAAGAGGATATTCATTTCGAGAGAAAGTGGAGACGATAAAGTCCCAATCGCGATCAATTTCCCGTTTCTTTTTATTTTTCTGCATTAGACTCAACGTCGAGACGAGTATATCGATTCGCAGTGTTTTCATCATTCCACAACGCCCTTGTTCCCCCCATCCACGTCGAGATTTACTCGCAATGTCGGTGGTCTCCTTTTCCGTACTGCGTTATTCATGGAAAAATAAGAGGACTCGGTGGCGCCAAAGGAAAGAGAAACCCAGAGTCTGCGTTAGAGATTATGAATGTACGAGAAAGAGATTTACGAATAGAGGTAGTTACGATAGCTGTGGAGTTGAGCTGATAGCCAAGATGAAATGGAAATGAAAAAAAAAAAAAATTTTATTGCAATTTACGGTTCAATTAACGCTGTCGAGCCGCACTTGAGCGGAAGTGAATGGGGGAATCGACGGGATAAACGCAAAACGGATATGGGGAATCTCCAACTACTCCACCTACCATCGTTGTGGTTTAAGAGTGATGGAGGAAGTGGGGTATTACCGATAGAGACCGACTGTCTAGCCTGCACAACCGAGCTCTCTCATCAGGAGCGTCACTTTGCACCTCTCTTGTGTACTCCACCTCCTCAAGGCCAACGATGGAGTTTACAATCTCGTTTTCACTGGTCGAGAGGTGCAAGTGAAGTCTCCGTCGATCAATTGCTTGGCATAACTATTCACGACGATTTAATAATAACGTTGAACGTTGATCCATCAGTCGTTGAGATTTGCGTGATGATCGAGGATGATAAGAGGTGATTAGAAAAATAACGCTGGACAGGTGATTTTTTGCTTTTCAATGTCGCTATCTGATTTTATACTCTTTTTCTCATTCATTCGGCTGATCTCAACGCTGCGGCATCAACTCCAATGTTTATTAATCATCGTACCCCCGGGGAAAATGTGAAACATGTCCAGAACATCTTGATGCTATTCGTCAATCCTATCACGTAAACTTTGACGTGCACTAGCTGCACCGTTACAAAAGAAAAGATATATGTATTTTCCCGTCTTGTTTCGTGGTTTATTCATCTGTCTACCCCCCCTTTTCTAGTCAACATTGTACGTGAATACGAGTGAGGATGCAGCTAGAGAGAAATCCGGGACATGTTGCACACTGTAACTGCGGTTTACAAAACCCCACCGTACGGTACAAATGTACCTGGGGGTTCGTTACAATTTTACCCTCAATGACACTGATACGCGTTAACGCCCACGAGTCCTCTGGTCTTTTTTTTTTTTTTCATTTTGATATTATTATTATTTTCGTTTTTATTAATTTAGTTATCTCTTTTATTCCGTGTTTGTATTTTTATTTATTTAGTGAGACTACTTTGTTCCCTCTCGTTGCCACTCAACCACGGCCATCGTCTACTTGTTTCACGCTTAGTCGGCTAATTTTGTCAGCGATCTCGCTTTCTCCGTGCTTTACACTCTTTCGTTCTCCCTTACATCCACACATACACAAGCATTTATAATACACCTCTTTCACTTGAAGAGTTTGATAATGTTAATTATTAACGTGATTAATTTATTTTCACTCTTCAGCCTGCAGCAGTGTACGAAAATCCTGCTGTAGTTTAGACTCGTGATAACTCCAAATGTCACTGAAGTCCTCGTTGTCATCCAAAAACGGTGATTTCTCCTCCTCAGTGGGTGCTGAACTCGGTGATGATGAGTAGAATTTAATCTCAAGATCACGATGTCCATTCAACGATGTGACAATTTCAGTCGATACCTCGAGACTCTGTGTGGGTGTCACAGAATTGCTCAGTGAGCCAAGTCCAGTGACATTTGTACTTGGTGATACACCGGACGATGCACTACCTGGCCAGGAGCTTCTGCCCCTCGTCACCTCAGCCTGACCCCGATCACCAATCACCCCAACATCTCGACTCGGTGTACTTATTTGTTCACTGAAATAACTCGTTGGATCACTCCAGCTGCGTCTGAGTAATGCACAGCCAGTTGGCTCCATGCGATTCGGCCGACTCTGTGAATGATGGGGATGATGCTGGTGGTGAGAGTGATGACCATGAATTTGATCATCAACGTCGTAGTAATCCTGCTCCGGGCAAGATAAACTTGGACGTGACAGATACAGTGGCATCTGTGGATATTGTACCCCAAAATCACTGCTCGATGGTGGTGGTGTTAAGAATGGTGAGTAACAATTTTGCTCGACATCCCAAATAAGTCCAGATGGATCACAGTAACGACACTGACAGCACGTATCATCAACAACACCCTTCTCACAGCTAGTATCGTAATTAATGTATCTCGTTGGATTATTATTATTGCAACGATTAACTGGATTATTGATGTGATGATGATTGCGGTATATCTTGGTTATTCCCTGTGCACGTACATTGCTTGGTAAAACAACGTTACGGTTGTCATCCAGTACTTTCACCTGCACGTGTCTATGACCGTACCTCTGCCTCGTGTCTGTAATCTCTTGAATCGATGTGGACGTCTGCGTTCTGCCATAACTTTCCCTCACAACTGGTGGCCTCCTGTGTGACCGGTGTGATGCCGGCTCATAACGTGCCTCGTAACAAACTGGCACATACTGCTTCAGTGTTACCAAACTCGTATGGTCGGTAACTTGATTTGTCGGTGGTATTGGTTCATCCTGCTTCGATATCTCCTGGCTGACTGGATTCGTCGGCTTTCTGTCCTTCTTCCTTCGTTTACGGGGCTTTATTATACGTGGTAGACTGTTCTCCGAGTTATTTGAACTCTCATCGCTCGCAATGCTCAGGGAATCAATGTTGGCTATGTTTGAGCCTGAGTTGTCGGGTTTAGGGGGTTGACAGTCGTTCTTCTGGTGCAACTGCTGGTTATGATGCTGCTGCTGCTGTTGCTGGGGCTTACGTGGTGTTTCCATTGTTCTCTGACCCCTTTGGCCTCCACATCTTCCAATGGACATCGCTGTATTACCAATGTTATTATTGGTGTTTGAGAAATTATTGACATTAGCACCGGTCGTTAGATTTCCACAATTTTGTAATTTCCCACGATTGTGAAAACGTCCAGCCAGAATGAGCGGTGCACCCTGAGTGTGAATAGCCAATCGTGACAGTGGGCTGCGATTCTGCAGGTGACCCGTAACCTGTTGTGACTGCTGTTGCTGTTGTGTTTGATCAACCGTTGACGATTGATTTTGTATTTGTTGACAGGGCGATGGAGATAGACGCTGATTACTCCTTCGTGGACTAGATGTCATGGATATCAGTGGTGCACCTGTCCAGGTGCCGTACTGACATTGCTCATTACCCGGTGAATAGTTCTGGGGATAACAGTTTGGATTGCCACGCAGTGATAATTGCTGATTATCCTGCTTCTTGATAATCTGAGTTTTTTGGATATTTTGTCGTAGGGTTGATGATATCAGGCAACTGCCAATGTATCTCTCCACCTCCAAGCCGCCCTGGGGACGGCTCATTTTACAATCAGACGATAGAATCAACACTTCGACACTTATGAACTACTCGCGCAATCCAGTCTACTCCTCTTTTCGGATATTAATTCCGTGATTTTAGCGGTGCTTCACCAATCGACACTTTTTCACAATTATCACTATTCAAAACCGTCACTGTAAGTGAAATCCAATAGTCAGACTGGACAATTTATCCCACATCGTTAATCATTTCCCGATCGTGTTTTACCGCTTCAATCGAAATAACCGAAGTGCCGGGGGAATATTCATAACCGGGTCAACGACGGAAAAACAAGGTAAACTCAGTGTCACGATTATTGTGGACAAATTACTAATCCACCGTGTTCCGCCGCGTTCCGAGCGACACTGAGGCTCCTTCGCTAAGCTGGCACCGACACCAGCACTCCGCTACGTAGAGAGGACTATTTCCCCCACCACCGTCGCCGCTCACTCCCACCAGTTGTTTTCATCCCCCACTTCTCACAGGATTTTCTATGTGGATGTGTTGCAGTCTACTGCTGAAAATGCCTGGCGTGTCCCCACCATCTGCCACGAGCTACCCCCTCTGTCGTCTTCTCATTTGATTCTTCTATTTTCCCTTGCCGACTCGGAACCGCGAAACTTTGCCACGTCCGATTCGTACGATCAACGCGCTGTTCCTTCCGGTCGACGCCACAATTTACCGTGTGGCTGTATCGTAAAGCCCTGAGACACCCTCGAATTTGAACGCCATGTTGGTATCAATATCCTCATTTGGGAAATTTATTTTTTGGGAATTTATTTTTTTGAATGACATTTTATCGTTATTCTTTCTTCGGGTGCAATGGATCTTGTAAATTCTTTTTCATTTGGAAATGTCAAAACACTTTCCGCTTTTGAAAATTGTTAGCTAATTTCAAGGAATCCGGCTTTTGAAAACTGATTAAAAATGCAATGGAAACTGTAAATTTGCGTTGAATGATTCGATAAAAATTGAAGGAAGTGAAGAAAATTTAGCACAAGTCGGTATTGAATATTAATTTTTTTGATTGAAATTTCATGTAATTTAGGGAGTTCTCATATTTTTCCTGTTCAACAATTTGGAATTACGTTGAAATTTCTGTGACATTAAAAATTTCATGATTTCTTCCCCCTAAATTTAATTTAGTGTCACTCTTCTGAAGATTACTACTAAACTATTTATGAAATTTAATTTTTTTCTAACTGTATCGCTGTTGGAGAAAAATTGAAATTTCATGGACAGTTGATTAGTAATTTTTAAGAGCAGGACATTGAATTTGATTCAGGACGAAGAAAATGATGAAATTTTAAATTTCACTGACAATTCAATGAAATTCCAAATGTCTGAACAGCAGGGAGACGAGAATTCCTTTTCTTAGATTTTTTAAATTTCATAAAATGAAGATTCAGCACCAAATTGTACTGAATGTTCAACTGATTGAAAATCCAAGAATTTATTTATCTGCATTTCACTGTTTTCATCGATTTCTCTAAAAAAATCGAAGGACATTGAATTTGATTCAGGACGAAGAAAATGATGAAATTTTAAATTTCACTGACAATTCAATGAAATTCCAAATGTCTGAACAGCAGGGAGACGAGAATTCCTTTTCTTAGATTTTTTAAATTTCATAAAATGAAGATTCAGCACCAAATTGTACTGAATGTTCAACTGATTGAAAATCCAAGAATTTATTTATCTGCATTTCACTGTTTTCATCGATTTCTCTAAAAAAATTGAACCTCCAATGGCGAAATTTCTTAAAATTTCAGTGGCACTGTAATCCAACGAAAATTTCCAAGACGTCTACCGGAAATTTCAGCAATTTTTAACAGTCATACCAAATACTCTGCTGGATAATAAAAAAAAATTAATTTCAAATTTTCTGAGAACTTGGGTCGACAACGGCTTAGGACTAGCCCGAGAAAGTTGCCAAGTTCTTGGAATCGGGTTCCCCTACAATTCCCGCGCATTTCAGCCATCGTCAGTCCCCCCTGTATTCCGAAATCTTTTTTTCTCCTGTTTCATCGCAGTGCAATTTATTAATGAACACACGTTAATTGAAGATCGGAGAAAGGTGAAAGTATGGTGAAAGCGTTGGAAAAAAGGAGGCTAGAGTGAGGAGATATCGGAGTGATACGGAGGCGTCACCCCCGCAATCTAGGTCGACACCGGGTGGAAAAGTGGGTCACGAGTCTTAGTCGATTACCGGTGGCGCGTCGCACGCTCTGGTGTGTCTCGACGATCCATTGGATCCGAGCGAGATGTCGTTTCCACGGTGTCTTCCGGTCATTCACACGCGCCAGGATTGGACTTCTGCGATTCTCCTGGGTTATTCAAATGTACCGGGAACAACAGGATGAACTGAATATTCGAATGATTGGACTAGGATTGATGTACGCTATTGAAAATTATTGGATGAGATTTCCGGAATATTTTTCGGGAATTTTTTATCAAGTTATAGTTTGTAGTGAAAATTTAAAGAATTTCGTAATCGGTAATTCATGATTTGATGGAACAATTGAGAGAAACGATAGATTTTAGTTGAATTAATCCATGAAATCAATTGAAACTGAACGTCAAATTTGATGAGAAACATTGTGGAATTCCAAGTTTTGGGTAGAATGCCAATTAACCACTAATATTAAAAATGAAAATGACATAAATTTTTCATTTTTACCCGATTTTTCATATTTTTTGAGTTTTTACAAAATAATTGAATGGAACTTCGCAAGTTTCATTCATTCCCCGATCAAATTATTAGAAAATCAATTGAATACCCCATTCTTCAATAATGAAATTTCCTAAAATTTCAGTGGAAGTGTCACTTTATGAAAATTTGTGGATATTTTCATCTTTCTCCGATCTTCAATTAACGTGTGTTCACAAAAAATTGAGACAAGAAATCGTTACCAGAGTAGATATGCTCATGAATGATTGAATATTCAATGTAATTGGGGACAGAATATTAATCTTTTCATTCAGAATTGAAGAAAATTTAAGAATTCAAGAATTTAGGGTCTCCCTGAAGCTAAAAAATTTAGAATTCCCATGAATTTTCTGTTCGAATGATCTAAAAATCAATAAAATACAGGATTTTTCTGTTCACTTATTCCGTAAAAATTCGGGAAATCAGGAAAATTCATGTGACTTTTCTTCTTGGACAGTTTTGGCCCAAGTATCATTCAATGCTTCACGGAATTTTTTTTTTTTCGATTGCATTCAGACAAGACAGTTGATACTCGGTTGGCTTTGAATACAAACGGAAATAGCTGACTCTAAAAGTGGTCGTCAAAATAATATTGGACACTCGGCGGATAGATAAAACGTCGATAATACCGAGGCTCACACCATATTTACCAAAAGAAATAGTGACGCGAATGCTCAGTGACTATTTTTAGTTTAAACACTACCAAGAAATTATTTGCACTTTTCTTTGAGTGTTTTTCTGTTGTTGAGTGAATGTTATGCAGTGAATTCAGCCTATCCATTATTCTGTGGGGCTAATCTTTCCGGTGTAATCCGAATTAGGTTGTAACCAATGACGGTACCGTGTCCTTTACGATAACAGGCCATAAATCGAAATCCCTGATAATGTAGGATTCATTGCGTATACCATGTAGTTAACTCCAGTAACCAATGAGGACTGGCTTCAGAAATCTATCCAGTCGATTTCCCAAATGTACATTTTCGCCACGTAACTCGTGTTTTCACTTTTTCGTAATTACCGTAATGACGATTTTTTTTGTGATTCCGTAGGAAATAAACGGCAGTCGTTATTGTTATACTGCTTTTCTATTCCTTCGAGAGTCGAGGAATTTCAGAAGGGAAAGCGAAACCAACTGCGTGCAATAGGAATTTATTAGTGGATTGGGCAAACGATGAAAGGAAATTGTCAAAATGTAGCTATAAAAATTACGCATTTTGCATCTAATAAGGCTCTTCATTTCGGTAAACTTCTTGGAAATTTTCAGCAAATTATGTTTTGATTGACATTTCAAAAAATTCTACGATAGGAAATTAGAAATTTTATGAGTCAATCAATAGAAACTGACAATTTAATTTCAATTAGTTATTGAATATGAATAGAAATTACTTGAAAAATCGACGGAATTTAGTATAAAACATTCATGTCTTCATTTGAAATTCAAGTAAATCTGGGAACTCTGCATGTGCTGCATTCGTGCTGCTCAAAAATTTTAGAATTTAATTCAATTTTCAGTGCAATCGGAAATTTCATAATTTTTTTCCTCGCTAATTCAATTTAATCTCATTCTCCTGAACATTATTGAACTAGTGTCTATGAAAGTTCAATCATTATTCAACAGTGTGTAAAATAAAATGAATAATGAAATGCGATGAATCCTCTATTAAAATCAAATAAACTACGAGATTTATGTGGACGATGAATAAACACTCGCAAATAAAGAATTAGAACGCAGTGAATAATTAGTAAATTCGGAGCGTCCGAAAAACCGCGTATTTTTGGAAGGGCTATTGTAATGCATTTTCTCATAAGATAATATAATAACATATATCTTCAAAATTTAGGAACCAAAAGATGCTCAATTTTGTCGGGCGTTCAAACACGAAAATTCTCAACTGAATTCGCAGTTTGTGATAATTTTTCATTGGCTGGGAGGAAGTGTTCAATCCATTTACGATGACATTGAGAGGAATGGTTATCTTTCTCTTGAAACAATACCGAAAATACCTCACGGAAATGACAAATGTGTGTGTGTGCTATTCTGCAGTAAAAGCCGCTGTACTGTGGAACAGAAAAGTCTATCTCAGATTTCTTTACCGGGGACGGAAGTTTTTTTTCGTGAGCGAAACGATTATTATGACTTGTGCTGAAAAGTTTTCCAAGAAAGGCATCCATTACTGTGATTGTCCGCAAGTTTATGGCCGGTGGTACAAGCGCACCCCAGTGAATTTTTCCGTGAAAGATGTACGATTTGTCAGCGAATTTTCAACAGCTTTTAACGGCCATATTTAACGAATAGGTGACGTCAATATCAATAAAAATGATTCCTAATTTGAGAAACGTCTCAGAATGAGAAAAACAAAGTATTTTGTGAAGCAAGTCTCTGCTTACATAAAAAAACTCGTAGCATGAAAATTTTCAAAAGCAAAATATCTTGGACGAGGAAAAAAAACTTTTGTCAAGAACTTTTGTACTTGTCCTACAGACGAGGATCATTTCTTGATGACAAGAAAGTGATTACTCAAACCATGAATTTATTCAATAGTTTTTAGCCTCAATTGTAAAATATTTTAATGCCTAAACCACTTGAATTAATTTGAGAACTCGTTTTTTTTATAAGAACCACTAGGCA